CTGGCAGGTGATAAAGAGCAAGAGTTTCTCTTTCCTGATGTGGCTCTCTCAACACCCTGAGTCACTCAGCTGGTAAACTCACCTGAATAGATACCTGGGAAAATGGCATTTTCCCAAGTGTGCCAGATAGGATGTGTTTGTGCACAGTGATGAGACTGAAATTTGGAGAAGTAAATGCCACTGAGTCAGCTTCACAACAGCTTCACTGAGAGGTGACTGTATGAAGAGACAGAGAAATTACCTTTGCACTTTGGCTGCTCTGTCCAGTTCCCATTCTGACATGTTATGGAGGAAGCCCCAGTCATCTCAAAACCTTGCCAGCACTGATAGCGAGCACTCTCTCCAGGCAAGTATCTTGACTTTTTAACACCTTGGATGTTACCACCAGCAATTTCTGGTGGAGGATCACATGTCACATCTGAAAAGAGGCACCGCTTCAGTCATGTTTGCAATCGTTGTGGTGTTCCCCTGTACAATTGGCAGCTAAAGGAATCAATCTTGTTACAATTTCTGTCCAGATTTTTTAGCTCAGATAGGTCACAGCCCCAGGAATTCTCCACAGAGAAAGCAACCAGGTGTGGCAGTGGCAGCAGCATGCTCTTTCTGCAACTCTCAGGAGATGGCAGGGTCAATGAAAGCTTCTAGAAAACACCACTGTTCCTGTAGCTACGCCTTATAGCATAAAAAGTCACATCAACCTTCTTGTGTGCATATATCCCTCCCCAGGGAGCCCTGGTGTTCCTGGAAATCACAGGGGTAGCAGCCAAGCTGGTGCCCTGCTGAAGTGCAGAGCTCTGGAGGACTGGCAGTGCTGGAGTAGCTTGTCAGCCTGCAGTGCTTAGGGATGGGTAAGTGCAGTCAGCTCCATGGCTCTGTGTGAAAGCCAAGCAGCACCTGCTTGGCCTGCAGCTTCAGATTTGAGGTACGGACAGGAGCATGGCCCCTGGCAGTTCTGTGTCACAAGAACGACAGATCTAGACCCAGTTCTCTGCTGGGTTCTGCATCGGTCAGAGTGGAGCCCTGGAGAAGAATTATCACTTCTTTCCCCTGCTGCTTCTTCTATTTAGATACTCCCTGACAGGTCTGAACAGAACAGGGGAGCCCTTTCTACTGGAGACTGCTGAAACAGTGGACTTTGGGGAAGTACCGGTATCATACAGGAGACTGACAGAGCAGCACATTTTAGGCCCTGCTTCTTCAAGATGTTTTTGCTGCTGATGAAAGTATCCCCAGTATTTCCAGAAGCATCAAGCTAGGTTAAAGTGCTGTGTAAGAAAGCAATAGCAGGTGCAAAGTTAGGGTACACAAAGAAAGCAGAAGTAAAAAAGGTAAAGTCTTTAGCATGCCTAGGTAAACAAACAGTCCCCTCTATGCTAACAGGCAAGATGAAAGCACAGATTCCTACCTCTGCAAATTGGTGCCTGTGACCATTCTCCATTTGTACAGGTGACATAATTTCCACCCATCATTTGAAAATTGCTTTCACATTCATACTTCACTATGGCACCAGGCAGATACCTCTCCTGTTGAGGGCTTGTAATACGAGCACTGGGAATTTCAGGTGCAGCTCCGCATCTAACATCTGAAAAGAGAGGTGTATTTAAGAACAGTAGTGCAGCAATATGACAATCACAGAACATGCCATTCCAGAGCACCATTGTTCCTGATGAGTAAAAATGGCTTGTGTAATGCAGAACATTTTCCACAGGTAGAAAAAGAAGGTATTAGGATCTTTATCCTGAAATGCTTCACCACACCATATTATTTTTGCATAGAGTAAGTAAAAAGGGAAAAGGAGTTGCAGAGATCAGCTGAATGAGCATAGTGGTGCTGGACAGCACTGGGTGCCAAAGGGCTGGAGAATGAAGTAATTTCTTTCCTATTTGAAGGTAACTTTTAGCAACTGACATTCTTAGTGATACTAAAATAAGAGACATTACTCTGCTAGTTATCTCCTCCTTTGCAGCCAGCACCCATTCCTCCATAACGCTCTGGCTGCTCTATTTCAGCAGAGAGCTAAGTTTCAGTTACTAGCTTCTGCCCACAAGGGAAATTATTTCTTTGCTGATCTACCCTGTCTGTTTTTTCTCAGGTACCAGAAAAATAGGTCCACTAGCAGTCCCTTCACAGCAAATCACCTGCTGTCTCTATCGCCCTGACTCACCTGCATGCCTGAGTTGACATTATTTTAATTCACAACATGAAAGACTAAGAAGGATCATAGACTACTTAGAAGTAGAACCCATACCTTCACAGAAAGGTGGTTCTGTCCAGTTGCCTTCTCTGCAAATAATTTCAGCGGAACCAACAATGAGGTACCCTTCTTCACACAGGTAGCGAATTGTTTCACCAGGCTCATAAGTTGCCTTGTTTCTGCCTTCAATTTGACTATGGGTAACTTTTGGAAATCTTTCACATGGCCTTTCTAAAAAGATAGAGAGAGCTGACGTTTGTGCTAATGTGATACACATAGAATGACAGTAGTGTTTTCACCCGATGCTTTAGAGAGCTTTTTCTAACACTAGCATATCATCCACCAACAGTGGATTTTATATAAAAGGTGGCATACAGAAGATGAAATAAGTCATTCCCCTAAACAGGCATGGACTTCAGTCACTGGGATTTTTAGATCCTTTTTCTAACCATGCCAGAAAATTTTAATAACGGCTTCTGTCCCTTACTACAACAAAGTGGTTTCCATCAAAGCAACTCTTAGCCACCAGTGGGCTCTGTAGAAAACAAATCCTTGGATTACAAGGATGTGCCCAGGACTCATCAGGCAGAGACATGGGCTGAACAAAGATTGTGAGAATACAAAGGAATATTTAAAGGCTAAACTGCATTCAGAAAGTCAGTCTTGCATACAGTCAGGACTGCTCTGAGAACATCCATGAAGGATGATAAGATTCCACAGCAAAATATATAGTTACTGGTCCTTACTAGTAAAACTCCATTTTAAAATTCTTCCCAGTTGCTAAATGTACCTCAAAAATAATTATTTTTTTTATATTACCCAAGCATGTAGGAGCTGCAGTCCAGTTTCCCATAGAACAAGTTATCTGTGATGGTCCAGGTAATATGTATCCAGAACGAGAAACATAGTTTAATCTTGCACCAGGCAAATAAATTGTTTTCCCTTCCTTTATAATTGCTAAGTTTTGGGTTTCCAGCTTGGGAACATCAGCACATTTTAGAGGTTCTGGTGGCAAACATGGCCTTTCTAAAAAATACAGAAAAAATCAGATAAAAAATAATGCAAGACAGTTAGTATTCCAATGACATCTGCAGTCTAAAACAGAAAAGTATATTAAACAAAAATCATCCAAAGATAAATTAAATGGCTTGATAGAAACATGAAGAAATAATGGAGATACAGAAACCAAATCATTTCTCTTCTTTCTGTCCTACATGGGGTTTCTCTGTTTTCCTTTGAGCCAAATTAAAGCCATTTTCTAGTTCATACCAGTTACAGCTTAGCATAATTTCCTGATGCTAAGGGAAAATTTCACAGGCAGAGAAACAGAAGAGATATTACCTTGTTTTTGGACACTGAGAGTGAATTTCTAGAATGTTAGCTATTGATATTTTTCCACCATTAATAAAGTTGTACAAATGTCCTGAGTGGTTTTGTGATGATTTTGTGAAAACGAAAGGAGAACAGATCTTATGAAGTATTATAATGTATTTCCTGGTACATACAGTGGATTAAATCTCTACAAAGCTCTCCTCAGTCAGGGTTGTCCCAATGTTTGCTTCTCCTACACTACTGTAGAGTGGGTGGACTTAAAATGTATTTTATGTATATTTTTAATTAATTAGTAAGTTAGATTTTATTAATTGACACATTAAGTTGGAAGCATATATTTGTACTGAATTCCATAATACAAAAGATGTAATGACAGTACAAGTTTCTGTTCCGTAACTGGAACTGGGAATAAAGTTGTTTTATGAACAGCTCTACATTTTTTTTTTTTTTTTGGTTGCTGTTATTCATCTCCATGTCACCCACTTATCAGCAGAAATGTAAACTCACAGGCAATGCAAAAGAAGAGATACCATGTGGCATCAGAATTTTGCAGCTTAAAACATACAGACATGGTTGTCATATTGTGCACATCAGTCACCAGCTGGCACCTCCCTAGTCCTGTGCTCAGCTGTCTTCTCTTTGTTTCTGAAAACACGTTATTCTACCCCTCAATGAACTTCTGCCTACAAGACATCACCTGCATCAGTAATATTTTAACAATTGGATTATAGATTCCTGAGCATTTCTTAGACTACATTGCCTGAATTAAGCTATACCATTTATATTCCTATTACAAGAATAAGCCACAAAAAAATCAAGAAAGAATAAAAATTAAAAAAAAAAACAAACATGAAACCAAACCAACAGATTGCTACTACTACAAATAAATACTAAATTATATTGATTTTTCACCAGAATGGTATTGAAGGCCCCCAGTCAAAATTGAGACTCCATTCTGCAATATATGAAGCAAACAAGTAAACACACAGCTTTTGAGGAACTCCCTGAAAGTTTTATGCCATCTTTGATAAGTCTCTGTAAATAAAAAGACGCTGTCCAGGTTAATGGCACTTTCTTTAGCAACTCATATTCTATTGCTTCTCTGCAGTTACCTGTTCACGATGTTGCTAACATGGTATCATCCTCCTGCTAACGATGGTTGTCAACGCATAACACAGAAGTTAATAATAAAATAAATAGGAAAAAATATCCACTACTGACCCACACAGTGAGGTGGTGATTGCCATTTCCCTTCTATACATGTTATTTCACTCACACCAACGAGCTGGAAACTCTCCAGACATGAAAAAGCTATTTTGCTCCCATTCTTGTAATTTCTTCCGACTGTTATCTGTTGAGCACCAGGCAGCTGAGGTGGAGGTGGGCACATACTCTTCTCAGCTAAGGATACATAACTCTTGTTATAGTAGAACAAAAGATAAAACACAGCAGTTCATCACAGCTCAAAACACAGCCAAGAAAGAAAACAGTGGTGTTAGACAATGCTTCAGTAGCTATCTCAAGCTTCAGTTAATATCATGATCATTTTGTTCTGCGTTAGAAACACTAAAACTCCCTTCAGATGCTCATATCCCTACTCATGGTAGGGGGTTTGGAACTAGATGATCTTTAAGGTTCCTTCCAATTGAAACTATTCTATGATTCTACGATTCTATGTGCTTTCAGACTCATAGGAAGACAGTCACAGTTGCCTACACCAATCTAAGCTGGAGCTTCTTGTATTTCTCCTGTCTGTTACACATCTCTGCACACTTTTGTGTGCTTTCCTTGTTCCTCTCCCTGTGGTAAACTACCTTGGGAAAACCAGACCAACTTCTGGAGTTCTTGTTTTGTTTTGTTTTGTTTCAGTCTTAGGTGACAACAGAACTAAATGAGAACCACAAAAGGAAACAAAGAAATAAACTTCAGTTTTGCCACTCAGGGAATAAAGGGCTGCTCCTGCCAAAGGAAAGAAAAAGAGAGGAAAGGAGGTAGATCTAGGAAGGGGGAGACCTCCAGACCTTGGTTTGTTGCTTCTACTGGTTCCAGAAAACTGAGAAGGTAGGGGTACTTGTTTTTGAAAGGGGATGCTCTCTTGAGTGATTGCCACTCTGTGTACTTCTCCCACTTCCACACATCAATTCCTACAAACCTGGCTTAATCAAAATAGGCAACAAGATGATGATTGCTTTACAGTCATGCCTTCTACAGGCAATATCCTGCTCTGCTATAGATAAACACTTCCAGTCTTTGGTGTGCATTCCATAGGGGCAGTCTCTAGGTCTGTGCTTTTGAATTAGAGGGAAAAAAAACAACCAAAATCAGGAATAGAAAAGCTCTGAATGTTTACAGGAAATAGAGGAACTTTGGCTGGAGCTTGAGCAATGTGCTACTCTCATTTGTACCAGGGTAAAGCTGTTTTGAAGAACTGAGCTTAAATTTATTATTGCATTTTTCCTCATGTCAGAAGTGCCAGTGAAACCTGTTCCAATTCTCAGAGCAGAAATTACTAAGTCTGCCTTACTAAGGTAGTGCATTTCTAAACCTTGTGAATTGTTCAAATAATGCCCATGATTACTCAAGACCATCCTTTAGTATATAATCGAGTACACATATATAAGTACATAAGCATTTCTGTTTCAGACTAGTGACACAGCAAGGCTAAGAAGCTTTAATAATAAGCATTTATTATTCCTACACAAAAAGAAGAAATTGTATGCAAATCTAAAACCATACCTGTACATTCAATCTCTGGTGACCATTTTCCAGACACACAAGTTGCCTGTTTAATACTTCTATCACCTGATCCACATTTATAACGTATAACCCCATGGAATCTAGTTTCCTCTTGTGCCTTGGCAGACTGACGCTTGGGCACAAGCACAACATCCATTGGAGTTACACACTGAGGAGATGGATCTGAAAAAAAAACCAACAAAACAAAACAACATCAACGAAACAACAAAAAGAGCTAAAAATTAGATCTAGTTCAGCTAATATGTACACACACATTCACCGATGAAGAGGTCATCAGTTTCCTAATGCTTGTCCATTTGAAAGTGTTTTTTTTTTTAATTTACTGTAGTTTGAAGTAATTCCTAAGTTTCCTAGATTACAGAAGCAGAATGATTTTTTGTTCCAGCTATCTAAAGCAATTACTTTTATGTTGACAGACTCCCTTTTGCTGAGTGCATTAAATAATATAAAAACTAAGCATTTTTTTCTTCCCTAAAACTCCAAAAACATAGCAAGATGAGCAAGGAAAGAAACCTTCTTTTGCTTGTAGAAACAGTAACGTAAAGGAAGTGCTCAATATGTATGAGGTATCAATATCCTGTGGAGGTGTATCCAAGTCATAACCAGGTCTTGTGGCCTTGACTGGTTCTGGTTAGAACACAATCTACTTGTGAAAACTAAGCAGGCTATGTTTTGTGCCAGATTTATCTTCAACCTAATTGTAAATAAAGGTACGGTGTGCTCAAATCAGGGATGAATATAAAATCATTTCTGGAGAAAGAGGGAACCAAGACCTGGATATATCATTAACTGTATTCTGTTAAAGATAAGTGAAATGCTAGAATTATTTATTCTAGACAAGACTTTTCCTTGCCCAGTTCTGCTTTTTTCTTTGATTACTGACTCCAATGTAATTTTTTTTCTGTTTTTCCCTCTTTTCAAAGGAAAAGGCTTTGCATTATATCTTTTAAAAAGACTATTTCATTCAATTCATGCACTGAAAAACTAAATGGGAAGGTGGGAAAAAAGAGGAAACTACTGATCAGAAATTAAAAGGACTAGTCCACATAAAAATGCTGAGGATGAGATATGCCTAGCACATTGTGGCTATTAATATTATTTTGGATTCCCAGTAGGATTTTAAGAAAGAAAACTAGTATGCAGAGACATGAAAGTACAATTAATTAATGCAACAACCACACTACTGTATTGCAGGTGTGTTCCAAGGCTTCTGAATGGTGTTACCAGGGAGGAATATTGGAAAATGGATAAAAAATCACCATACACCAAAGATGTACCCCATACTTGATTTTGTGCAAGTGTCCGTTTCCTTCCCCAAATCAACTCAGAATGCTGACAAAGCTGAAGGTGCAGAGTCTTTCCAGGATGAGGGACATGTTCACATTTGAATTAAAAAAAACAACTTAGTTGAGAAGCATGAAACTGTAGTATTTCTGGCTACATACTGATTGCCTGAAATCAGTCCTTGAAATTTTGAACAGAACTATGTTACACGCACTTAAGAAATATTATGGAAATAGATTACCAGCACAAAGAGGTAAAGGCTTCCATTCCCCATTAAGACATTTTGTTTTCATTTCCTTAGAATTCCTAGAGCGTTGTTCACATCCATAAACTACTTCATCACCATGTGAGAACTGAGTCTGGTCTTGTTGATGAAGAACAACATTTGGAATAGAGGAAGGTGATCCACATGGCATTTTGTCTTCTGTTGAACAGAGCAGAAGTATTCCACAATAATATTGGAGTCATATATGAAGAGCTGAAAGAACTTGAATAAAAATAACTCTATTTGCTTTTGATGAGTCAAACCTACTCCCATTAATGGCAATAACTAAATTTTAACACAGCTTCTAGTCAGTTTATTAAATCCTTCTCCTGCCTTTTCCCTTCTTTTTCCATCACTGTGGTAACTCCATAGCATGTTCCACAAATGGTTTCAGCTAACATTAATTTCCCAAACCATTTTTCACTGGTACATAAACCCTAAACCTCCAGTCAATCCGACTCACCTAGATACCTGAGTGGCATCAGTCCAACTCCACCTGGATCCCTGATTCTGACCAGTCAAAATTGTATTTGACTATACACCTACACATTTGCAATGTGCACTTACACTAAGAATTATTACAAGAACTGAAACCCATTGTAACAGCACTTAGAGGGCTGCAGCACTGTCATTTCTGTGTGATAACAGCAGCTCTGGCTCTGGGCTCTCACTGTTGCAGGGGTAGTGACAGCAAAGGGCAATGGCTTCCATGGACGAGTGTAGTATGTGAGCAGGTTGTTTTAGAAGAAGAAAAAGGCATGTAAGGGGAATAAGGGTATATGGCCTACTCTTAAGGTGGAAGAGGGAAGACCCATGATAAACTCAAAGCCTGAACTTGAACAATCATGCACTCAAGTTAGTACCACTCTTCTCTCAACTTTTTGCATTGAAACAATTCTCACTGGATCAAGGATTGAAAAGATGCAAGCTCCATGCCCCATGCATTAGTTCTAAATATGTAAGTAAGTGTCAGAATGTGTATATACTTACATGGACAGTGTAAACCAGTCCATAAAACCTCACCATTTATTGGATCATCCTGAACCATGATGAATACCCTGAATTAGGTTCTGTTTTTACAGATTTTCTTCCTGAATATTCCATTCTACGTCAACTCTGAGACACTGTCTTAACAAACAAATTGCCGTTTTGCACAAGCATTTTTAAACTCCTGTCCTTGACAGTAATACTCTCAGGTTTGAGGTACACTAATGACACGCACAGAAAGTGGATGCTTTTGCTAAGGCAGGAGATCAGAACTATTCACCATTTCACTATCAGGACTACAAAAACTGTTGCACATGTCTGACTCTAGCCCAAGGAAGACAGTATTCATAGTCATTATGTTTGTAGCCCTGTGCCCCAGTAACATACAGCATTGCCATTGTTGGGAAGAGGCCACAGTGTTTATATGAAGCTTGCAAGGCCTCGGGATGAAGGAGCAACCTGTTCTGACCTGCCTGGGGGCTCAGTTTTACTTATAGTAGATACAACAGCAATTTTTAATAGTGACCAGGCTATAGCTACTTTATCTTCCAGAGACAACCAAAAGTATGGTATAACCATGGTTTTATATACACAGTAGTAACAAGTGTTTAGTTTCTGTAGAGGGAACAATTATGACACTAATATAATGATGCTGGTGAATACAGGGCTGGTATTATAACAGTCTTTCAGAAGTGGGGGCAAAGGTTGGGTGTGGCAGAGCAGAAGCACAGAATAGCAAGAGACAGGGCATAGCCTGACACCCCGAGGTTATGAATAGCTCACAAAAGGTCAGCTTAGACCTGGAGCTGATCAAAACTGGGCTTAGGAGTAACACAGAGAAAAAAGAACAAATATCTAACATATTTAAAACACATTTAACAGGTCTAACTCAGAACCTGTAGACCACTGAAAAAAAGGGCAAGGCATGCTAGCATGCTAGCAAACCTAAAAATTACCCCTCATAGATCCTGTAATGAGGAAATCATCAGCATCAGTGTCTTACTCTGACCAGTAAATGACTTGAGATACTTATAATGTGTTGCAACTTCTCTCCAAAACAAACCAGTCTGAAGCCATTGACTTTAGGACCAAAAGGGTCAGTGGAAAGGAGAGCATAAAACCAGAAAAGGGGCTAAAGAGAAAGTGCATATATAATAATTGCAATTACAAATTACAAATTGTTTGTATTACTTAGATATTCAGTATTTTTTATGTATTTATAAATATCCTTTATATATTATGTATTTATTTCTCTTTCTCTAATATTTTGATCTGGGCTCACAAAAATTCTTTGATTGAACTGTTAAGTTTTTAATTATATTATTAATAAAGTTACGGCTTTACATACAGTACGTGTTTACTTTTCATCCATAACATGATTTTGAATGTAACATATTATACTTGCAAATATGTAATCTTAATTGTGAAAGTATTTGTGATGTGTTGGCCTATATTGAAATATAGACTTGCCACAAGTAAGAGTTCTATAAATTACCGATGCAAGAGGGAGGAGATGACCATTGTCCGTCAACACATTCTATTTCCTTTGATCCAACCAGTTTAAATTCAGCGTTGCATTCATACTGTTTTCGGATCCCATGGTGATACTGTACCACAGAGCCACCAGCAATACTTCCATTGATAATCTCAGGTGGAGGTCCACAGTCTCTGGCGTCCACTGAAATCAAGAGGTGAAATCTGTGCTCTGAACTTGGTACTTGTAGCACAGTTATACTTTAAGTGCAACATAAAATAAATGGATTTTGTTGTTTAAAGTTAAGAAAAATCAGTAGAACACGTTAAACACATTATTGGTTTATGTCTTTGAATACAGGGATTAATTTTGGTGCAGAGATCACAAACAGATACGCATGACCCTGGCTTGCTCTAGTCTCTTACTTCCATGCACTTGCACTGTCAATTGCCTGCTATGATAAAAGAAGTGGTTGAATAAAACCAAACCAGTTTTAAGAGAAAAAAAGTGTTACATGGATGAGAGCATCAGAATTTTTTTTAATAATAGGTTAAAATTCTGCAATTCTATATTATAAAAATCACCTAGCAAGTGATATGCATTGAATATTAAAGGGATTAACTTCTGAGAGAGTGAATGGAACTCCTGTTAAGGGAATTCAAAACATTCCTAAGCTAAAGAGCCAACTATATGAAATAACATACTTGGTTTTAAATACAAAAGAGATTGAGCAAAAGAAGGGTGAGAGCACGAATGGCAGCAAGGACATTGAGTGAGAAGAATGGTAGAGGAGAAATATGAGAACTCTTCATCCTCTCAAGCTTCTTCATGAAAGGGCATGGCACCAGCAGAAGAAACTCTTTTCAGATGACAGTAAGCTATGCTCTGTCTTAAAAAGGATAAGAAGAATAGAGGCATATATCTTCAATTCTGCATGAGTTTGTTCATCACACTTGATGAATCTGAGGAATTTCATAGGGAAAGCCCTTCTCTGCATTTCTTTTGCTTATGTTCAGCTCTCTGTCATCCTAAAAACAGGTTTTGTTCTTCAGTATCATGTGGTCAGAAAAAGGAATATAGGATGTAATAGCTGATGGGAGTCAACATTAGGCGTTATCAAGACAGGATATTTAGGATACAGTAAAAGAGCACAAATTGAACACTTCTGGCTGCTGTCTTGCATGTTATTTGTGCCTTTTTTATTTTTTAATTTGTCATACCTTACAGTCAAAACCAGAGTGAAACTTTCCACAAGACATTTACCAGCTCAGTTCGACTTACTGCAGAACTAAAGCTAACAGAAGTTAGCTTAGAAGAAAGTTCAACATTGAAAGTTAAACTGTTCAGAATGTTTCACATGAAATAGCAAAACACTACGAAATGATCCAAAAAGGACCAGTTCCTGCCCCTTTAGAGGCAGAGGTGGGATAACTCTTCCTGGGCTGGCTTATTGAAGGTGTCCACAGAAGTATTCAGGACCCAGGACCTATTTCCTACTACAATAAAGTTAACTGAAGAATTACCTTTACACACTGGTGGCGATGGAAACCATCCAAAGTAATAGCACTGAGCAGAAGCAGGTCCCACTCTTACATAGTCCTTTGCACAGGTAAATTGCACAACGTCTCCATTGTGGTATTTACCCTTCTTGGGAGAAAAATCTCCATTGGGCAATGTCAGCATTTCACAGTGGATTGCTACAAAGACAAAATATTTAAACATATAGTGTAAACTGTACAAGAAGTACATGAAATGCTACCGATTAGAAAAAAAAAACAAAGAAAGTCTTAAAGAAAAGAGCTTCACAAAGTGTATACAGAGTTACACTCATTAGCAAAACCAATAATATTCACCAAGACACAGGGGCGTTGGACTCCATTCGCCATTTATGCCACATGCCGTAGTGCTAGTTGGCATATTATTTGCAGTTTGATAGCCCTCTGAACATGCATACTGAATTCTGTCTCCAGGCACGAATACAGCTTTATTTGCATCATAATTCAAAATGTCCAGATGAGGTGTTTTACATGATTCTGTAAAATAAAACAAAGATAGTGCATTTTGTGATCCAGAAACACTGCCCTTTGGAAGCATTATTTCTGTAGGTGCTTCAATGTGTGCTAGCCTACTGAACTACTTGGTGTATTTGAAACATTAAAAATCCTGCCCTGTGTGAAAGTGAGTGTAGAGTATCACATGTAGCATATTCACATAATAATCTATTGCACTGATATTCAGAAACGTGTGTCTAGGAGTAATATCCAGTATATTTCTTCCTAGATTCACTTCATTTCCTTCTACTGCATTTTGTTATTAATGGTGTCATAGCAAACTGTTTGTACACTTGTTCCCCATGGTCATGTGTGAGAGGTCAGACAAAGAGCCACAAATTCCTAGGTAAAGGCAGCCTGAACTAAAAGGACAAGACAAAATATCAGCTAAAGCTGGTCAATACTACTGTACAGCCCTGTTCAGGAGAGGAAGGAACTTCAAAGCAAAGAAAGGCAACAACAGTAAGGAGGTATTTTCAGGGAAAAGCACTCCAGTGTTTTCTACAAATGTGTGTTTTTAACACCAGGGCAGACGTGCATAGTGGTTTTTATGCATAATGAAAACCAAATTTCCAAATTTTGGCATTTCCAAAACATGAATCACATCTTTCTCTAGTTCGGTCACATTTAAAGAAAGTTCTTGGCAGAATCCCTTGGTTCACAGGCGTTTCCTCATAAATCTTCCATCACGTGTGTGAAAGGTGGGAGAACTGGGAGTATACTTGGGCATATGAACCTTGTATCAGGTAAAAATCACTGGAGAGATCACTGATTACCATACACTTCATGCTACAGAGGTCCAAAAAGATAGCTCAGACTGAGGAGACTAGGTATTTTCCCATCTCACTCACTTTCTTTATGTTTTCTGTCTTTATTTCTTGGAGTCCCAGGAAGGTTAGTTTTGGAGGATCAGTCCCCTATTTAAGTCTCCCTCTGCCCAGCAAGAAAACTCTACCCATCTACGTGACAAAACTCTGAGCACACAGGACATCACGTCTGCATCAGTGACGATGATAGGGAGCCCTGAAGACCCTATGCTACTCACTGATGCACTTTGGAAGTGGAGTCCAGCCATTTTGTTGGCACTGTATCTCTCCTCTGTCTCTTCCTTCTGGAGTTACAAAGCCAGGATGACAACTATAGGTGACCCTTTCTTGTAAACGAAATGTGTTCTTTCCAGAGGTGAAATAACCGTTGTCAATTTTTAACTTCTGGCATTTTTCTGAAAGAGATAGACAGAATTTCCTCTAAGTAAAGCATTGCTAAACTACATGCCTGTAAGACTCAGATGAAGGAGGACAAATGAAGCAGCAGCAGGATTTAGAACACTTTTAAGAGTATGAGATTTTTTGTGTCTGCATTGAGATCTCTTCCTGGGGGACAACAGGACAGTGAAAGATCAAATTTCAATTACCATCTCATGCAGCATAAACAGTGGATGGACAGGGGTTTGGTTTGTGGTAATCCTGTGATTTTGGTAAATTTTATGTCCACATCTGGTCTTCACTAGAAAAAAAATTCGTGTAGTGCATGCACCGCACTATGCATGCATAAAAAAGACCTTCTGTCCATATGGACGTGGGAGCGCACCAGATGCTACCATGGTGTGCAGGTACTACCTCAGCTCTACCAAAGAAAATTCATTCAGAGTGCACATACCACAAGACTAAAGCAAATTTGTACCAAAGGACCCCTTCTTGCCCATTACTGAAGGCAGACCCAATGTTGTAACTGATTTCACATGACTTGGAACACATTGTTTAAGCCAGTCTAAATCAGTCATCTTTGTTGGATGTTATGGGCTTGTATTCTGAAAGAAAACCTCCATAGTATGTTGAATTCTTCACTAATAAATAATTTTGTAAAAGAGTTTCTTCATGTTAAGAAATTAACATCATAACAAATAGCAATATTTGTGCATTAGAGAGTCAAGTAAATAAAGATATAAAAAAAATACTTTGAGGAATGCTAGAGGATGTATTTGAATGTTGAGAGGGGAGTTGATGGCACTTTAGTGCAACAACTTTAAAAGTTTTAATTTCACATCAAATTTTCTTGTGTTTACAGCAGTCATGCCCACAATCTCCTAAAGCTAGGAAATCATAAAATTTTATTTTGCTTGGTCATTGTTGTGTCAACATCTCAGTAGGTGGCCCTCCAAAAGATTCTACGGTCGGTGTCTCTATCAGGGTGGAACTGTTTCCTAAAATATATTTTTACAGTCCAATAAAAGTTAGGTTTAGTTATTTCATTTGCCCATTAAAATATCATTATCTAAAATATTTAAAGTTCCTGTAAGACATTCTTGCAACTTCAGGCTCAGTGAATGTCAGGAACAAAACCTGGAAACAGAGTAAGGAGAGGCAACATTCCTCCTCCTCCTCCCTTCCAGTATGGTGCCAGCTAGAAAGGAAGCAAGAGATTAGGTGGCACAGCAAGAGGCTGAAAAGAGACAAATTACAGACAGGCTCTGCAAGGGGAATGATTACTATTTATTTTATTACTGCACAGCTATGTAATAACAAGATTTCACTGCTGAAGACAAAGGGACTATGACTCCCATCCCAAAGCTTACATTCTAGGAGATCTGAGTGAGCCACGGGTGGGTGTTTCAGGGTTACATTCTGAATGTTTGTATAGGGACTGACCCGTATAGCAGCATACACGGGCAGGGGAGCCTCATGAGACAGTTGAAAGAATGGCAGCATTGTGTTCCAGCTGTAGAACACTGAGGCTTACAGTTATTAAACACTGGTGATGGATTAAAGTAGGAGATGCGATGATTTTGAATTCACTGGCTTTAGCTAGAAACCGCAACATTATTATTAACAAAAGTATACTTACTTTTACGGATGCATCTTGGTGGAGGTGACCAGCCATCCTTTGTGCATGTGACTTTCTCATCTTCATGTTCACTATAATGGTCATCATTGCAGACGTATCTAATCCTGTCACCTTCCTTGTAAACATTCCGGTCGTATACGAAACGACCATTTTCCAGCTCTCCGACATGACATTTTTCTAATAGAGGAAGGTAAGTACATTTAACCATAGCAATTTGTACAGCAAGCACTGAGGTAAACTAGCTCCTAGGAAGACAGCTAGTAAACAATAGGCCTCCAAGCACCTTTCTGTAGCCTTCTATCTCTGAAAGACACGAAACCATGTTTTGTTTTACTGCCCTAAGATTAACAAAGTTAATTGACTGCAAGTCAGTGCAGAAAGAGCCAAGAAATGGTCTAGTAAACAATATTGCTTACCTAGTGTTCATAAGCAAGTTTGGCTAATGTTGGTGCAACTAGCATTGTGTACACCAACTCTGGTCTGGCCTGCTATGTCTCTAGAATGTTCACATCTTCCCTGAGTGATTTTCAGCATTTGCGTCCAGGAGATTTCATCATGTTTGTGCAAAAGTATCAGCCTCTTGAACCAGCTCTAGATATTTTAGCAACAGCTAAGCAGACTGGGTCTTCAATGTCCTGTGCCCCCAAGAGCCCAGACACAAGGAAGATGGCTGAAAGAATGCTATAGCTGTGTTACTTGACCAACCAGTCCTCTCCTCCAGGAGGACCCCACTCATTTCCTGCACTAAGCATGGAAGGCAACAGGGAAAAATAAAGCTTTTCTAACCTACTTCCAAGCTCTACCAGTAGGTATGAACTTTACTGTGACTGAACATGTGCATTAGGAGAGGAGGTCTCCACTTGCTGCTTTAACTCTGTTTTCTATAGTTCAGTCATTAAGTCAGTGTATCTGGATCTTTTGCTGATGCCATGCTTGCTTTCAGCTTATTGCAAGTGCGCCACTTTCTCAGCTCCAAATGTTATCCAAACAGACCAGGCAATGGATCTCAGACAGGAACCTCTAGACAAAGAGCCCAAGCCATGGAAGGAAGAATATATTTATGTAAATTAGAAACTCTCTGGTTTTATGTGCATCTCTGTGTGCAGATCTAAGTAGATGCATGCACGTGAGCCAGAAGCCGGAGAAGAGAAACATTTCCTATGTGTTTCTTAGTTTCATAGATAGTTTCAAGAATAAAGCATCTTCAAAATCCAAAAGCATTGCTTCAGCCTTACTCTACTTCAGTGTCACTTACAGCTGACAGTTTGAGCTTTGCAGATAGAATGACAACCTGGGTGCAGTTCTAAGGGTCAACTAAAGCAGTTCTACTTTAACAAACTGCTCTTTCTTCTGTTTTGTGCTCTACTGGCACAATTTCTGCTGCACAGACCTTTAATATTTATAACAGAATGGAGCATATAGAGGAAATGTACTTACTGAGGCATTTTGGCTCTGGATACCAGCCCCTTTCAGAACAGACCATTTCACCCCAGTAGGTGCCATGTGGGGATAAATAACCATTGATACAGGTGTAAACAACACGCTGGTTCAAACGGATTGGAAAGTAATCATCACTGTAGTACTCCAGATTGCCTCTTATCCTGCCATTTTCTATAACTGGGTAGTCACACGGTTTGTCTTGAAATAGAATTTAACAGCAACAATATCAACATATGCATGACAGAAGGTTCAGGAGACAATTAATTCAGATTCTGATTTATCATCTGACTGTTTTCTGCAACCAACAGAATCAAGACTGCACACTTTGGCAGAACCTGTGGAGCGCAGGAACAATTGCACTCTGCTTCTGGCTCTTTGTAGTGTCTCAACTAAATTTACTATGCTGACCGTGATGGGATCCCAGACATAGAGATGCTAAACTGTGGACTGCTAAAATTGAGATGACTCCTGTGACCACTTCCACTTGTGACTTTTGGAATCCCACATCAAAACTCTTCCCAGCTCTTCTAATTTTTATTTTAAATGTGTAGTGTTTTTCTTTTGTTCTCTCAGTTCTTCAAAAGAGGAACAAGTGGAAGATAAAAGCAGGAGATCCCAAGAAGCTTTCATTCAAGTTTACCCAGGGTGTCCTAGTTGACCATGGCAGGCAGATCCCTCCTGAAGTGGTCTGACCCAGAGCTGGGACAAGGGAGATCTCCCACTGGACAGACCATTCAATAATGAGTGAAGTGGTCTCAGAATGATACCTGGATTTTAGAAGCCCCACATATACAGAGAAAATATTAATGTAGATATTAACAGTGCACTTGTCAGGAATAGTTCAAATCATCTTATCCAAAGGTTCATGTACAAGACTGGGTTTCATAAGGGTTTCTCTCACATGCTGTTTTCTAACTCCTTCTTTTATTTTCATTGACCAAAGTTCACAGAGTGCTAGGTTATGAAATTAATTGCTTATTTATTTATTTATTTGTAATACTGTGCCTCCTGGGCAAAACAACCATTATAGTTACGTGAAGTTTAAGTCAAGAAAGAACTCATCAACTGTCAAGAATATCTTATTTTGTTATTTGACAGATGATAATAGGTAGAATAAAACTGTGATTATTCATAATATACCAACATAGAACTGCAAGAAAAAATCTAAAGCTGCAGTAAGTAAAATGAAAAACACCTTCCAACCCTTAGCTATGTTTTGGCTTGGATTCTTTAACACTCACTATGTCCTCTTGAATGGCATGCTACTCCTCATGTGGACCACAAACCTTCCTGACAGGGAGCCAATTATAGCACACTTTTACACAAACTGTCACAATTACAGTAACATGTAATACCTGTGTTTATAAACATAATGTGAATGTAGATTTTACTATTGTTTTTATAGCTGATTTTTCCAAACCATTAAATTAAGCTTTACATCATGGAGAAACACAACAAGTAAACTACTCTCTATTTCTCATGCGTCTAAAGTTTTCCTCTTGACCTCTTTTTCACTGAGATATTTCCAAAATCTCTACATCTTGTGTCCTCATTTGTGAGAGCTACTTACAGATACATCCTGGATCAGGCACCCAGCCATTCTTGGTGCATTCAGCTGTGGTTTTGCCAGTTAATGCTCTATAACGATATCCAGGATTACACTGGACTGTGATTGTAGCACCTACTTTGTAGCTGTCTTGTTGAGGTATAAAGTTTCCATTGGAAATTCTTGGAGGAGAGCATGAAATTTCTAAATAAAAAGAGAAAAATTGGAGGCTAATTTGAAGAATATGTTTATAATTACTGTATAAATTATTTTCATAATATATTGACCATAGCTGCATAAAATTGTTAAAAAGATGCTTCTTAGGGCAAAGAAAAGGTTATATTTCTCTCCCACTCTTTCTTAGAAATGCACAGTTCTGTAAGAGAAGATTGACACCTGCTACTGATATTGTGATTATTAGAAGATTAAAACTTAATTGTAAAGGGAATGTTTGGAGCAAGAACTAGAGGTGATCAAACTGAATTTGACTAATCTTTTCCAGTAGGTCATTCCACAGCTGGATCTCAAAATGACCTATGCTGGGCTCACTCACAGCTCTCCTGAGGTGTTTTACAGACACTGTCTCAAAGGAGTGCAGGTTCACTGGAAGGTCCTAAATGGAGAAACAGCTATACTTAACTAGCAAACAATCATTTAAAGGCTGTGTGATTAAGATTAAGGTCTTGCACTGACACTGGAATTATTTCAATAACTGATGAAGGATTAGAATGCCATTCTAAAAATGTCATAGTATCTTTATGCTCAGTGAAGCCAGGCAAACATATTATTTATAAACTATAAACTTTTGGTTTGTGGATTTTTTTGTTTGTTTGTTTGTTTTTGTTTTTTTTGTTTTTGTGCATGTGTGTGCCTTTTTGTTTGTTTTGTTTTTGTATTCTACTTCCAATTTAGAAAACATCACAAACACACTGAGGCGTGGGAGGGGATGAGTACAAGACAACCACAGGTTAGTCCTGCAGTGAAGTGAAGGTGGGTGAATCACGTGTATGTACCTACTGCTGAATCATCTGGGTTCAGTGATAAGTCAAGCAGGATACAGAACCACTATTTGCATATGTCCCAAGTATCAGAGCTCAGTGTATCAGTGTCGTGAAGAACTTTTTGTTTGGCATTTCCCAACAGCAGTATGCTGTTAAACCATAGGCAGTGCATATTAATTAGTATCATTACTAATCTTGAAGCAGAAAGGTCAAGAACTGAGTGGGCATTAAGGCTGACTACTTCTCTTTATTTCTAAAGGAGTCTTTCTGGCAGAGGTCCCAGGAAGGTGGGTGATACACAACATGCTACAACATTGCCCTCTTCCCAACATTTTTTTCCCATTTCAAGCGTTTGGCAGTTTTTTGAAGACAATTCAAGGCACTAATTTTTGCCCCACAATACACATCAAACCGTTTCAGCTGGGACATAATACACATATTTCTGTTCATGAGAGTTGTAGATTTAAATATACTCTTTAAGTGCTCTAGTTGAATGAAACTAAAGTAAAATCCAAAGCCCAGAGGGCTGATGTCAAACAGAACTAGCCTCAGAAATTATGGATTTGTCATCTTAACTTCTCTGAAGGCATCTGGGAATTAGAAAGCAAGAAGGAGCTTCAGCATTGTAAATAGATTAATTTGTAGAGATTCTCAGCCAATTTCTGCTGGGAAGTGCGAACACCATGGATAATATGGTTGTACAATTACAGCTCTGATGACACTAAAGAAATTGTCTTCATCTTAGATGAAGAGTCACAGAGAGTGGCAGGATTCATGCACACCATGTTACTTTGGTCTGTTTATTCATCGCTTCATGTCCATGGTCTGTAAGGTTAGTGAAATTCAAATCTATGTTTTATACAATTCTTGACATAATGGTTGTGTACAAAGTACTATTGTTTTCAGCCTTATGTATAATCCAGCACTGCAATTCCATTGTAATTTTCAGTTTACACACTTATGGCCATCAGTGGACTACTTATCCTTCTGAAATTGGACTACTTCACATTTGCTCAAACCTCTTTGGAAATGGCTGTGTCAGCTTCAGATTGTTCTTCCTACAACACTATCTTACTATTTCTGAAGAACTTTTGAAAGGCAACTTACAAACTTAAGTCAGGATTTTAATTTGCAAGATACTTGGAAAGCTACTTTTGTAATTTCTAGTCCTTTCTGAAAGGTTGCACGGTACACTAACAGTTTCTTCCTGAAGTTCCATCAGTGAAATAGGGATAATTTTTGAATTTTTTTCTCCTTGGTTGGAATTTATTGATCAGAACTAGTAGTCTGGAAATTTAAAGAATGGATATAACTGCTAGCAACGAGGTGCTCAGTCTGCTGAAATTACAGTAAGACTTTTCAGGACACTCAGATAAAATACAGAGGTCAGTTCAGTAGGTCAGGCAAAACTTTTGTTGTGTCAAATGTTCATACAGGGTGAGATGTTGAGTGGTATTTTACTGAGTGGTTAGTCCTGTGATTACAAGTAGCGGAGTCTTGGCTATGCTGATACAGCATCTCAACTACTGAACACAGAAGACCTGAAGATGTATTAACTTGTATCTGTCCCTGAAAGAACTGCTTGTGATTCCTAAGTAGGTCATTCTCCTGGTCTTGAGCTTGACAGTTATCAAGCTAAGACTATTAGCTTTCCTCAGTTTTATTCATACTACTGCAATTTATATGGTATTGGGCTCTTTAACACTTACTTCTTCCAGATCTTCATGGGATATTGGTCAGATGTGGATTAATTTCTTTTGTTATGAATAAACTAACTTTGGTCATTACTAATCTCCAGAATTAGTTCCAAACACAACAGCTGTGCAAAATAACTTTAGGCAAGGCTAACCAGTGCAATATGGGGCTGGATTCCATCCTGATTCAGTACATTGTGTATCTGCTCTTTCACCGTATCTGTATCCTTCATCACAGCCAAACTGTAGTCGTTCAAATGCCTTGTAAGATCTCTTTGGAGAATGTATATATCCATGCAGAATATCTGGCACTTCACAGATAATATCTGAAATTGAGAAAGACAAAAATCATATATTTCTGTTTATTTGCTAAGAATAAATTCCTACGGGAATACGGGAATAAAATTTAGGTTGTGGGGTGTTTGGTTTCTTTTTGTTCCTTTTTTTTTTTTTTAATTGACTTTACAAAAACATTTTCATTTGCAAACTGTTTGAAACTTACTGAGAACTCTTCAATTATCTGATTGTGGATGCTAGGTAGAAAGTGTGGTATAGCACAGAATCAGTAGAAAATTGGCTCATGACCCAGATTTCAGGGCTTTATTTTGGATTTTAATGAATCCCAGAATCAGTATGTAAGACAGGGGACAATCTAAAATAAGAAACTGAGGTAGCTGAAATTTAAGATTTTCTATTTTTCAGATAATTTTATTTCCTTATAACTTCCTGAAAACCTAAAGCTCTCTCATAGCCAGTAGATGAACAGTTTAATTGTGGCATCAACAGGAAAAAAAAAAATTAAACTAATTGGAAAACTGACACTGCAATGCTGAACTGTCTACAAAAGAACCTCAGCATCCCTGGCTCCTTGCCCAAGCAAATAAAACCACCAAGATCTTGCAGTTTCCAAAAACTGCATCCATAAATCCAGAAAATACTCAAGGATTTGTTTCTTAGGCCATGGAGCAGAACACCAAAGAGTTCTCTTGGATTCCTTTGCTGGATTTACTTTCTATTTAGGATTAAATATAGCTCAGTAGAACCGTCACTGTTTAATAAAATTCACTATATTCTGCAAATGTTACAAACATCTGTTTAATCCCACTTTGTGCTGTTCAAATTGTAATAAGTGAGGATTTCGAAGCAGCACAATGCAGTGCTGAAATTGTGAACAAACCATACATGTATCTGAAATCCTGAAATATCCACTGCATTTCTAAACACATACTTCCCAACCAGATAACGTATAAATAATCTAAGAAACTTGAGGGACTGAATACGTAACAGTGATTGTTACCATAAGCCTCCTGGGATTCATTCTTACGTACTGGCAATCCAATCCCATACAATCTCTATTTGCCAAATGGGAGGAACAACCCCATCCACCAGTACAACCTGCAGGCCAGGCAGGGTGGGGTCAACTGAAAAGTCATTTTGCAGAAAAAAACTGCAGTCATGACAGACAAGTTGAACAGGGGCAGTAATGGACCTTTGCAGCAAACAAAGAAAAGAGCATCCTGAGCTCCTTTGCGAAGAGTGTTGCCAGCAGGTCAAAGGAGGTGATCCTTCCCCTCTACTCTGCATCAGTGAGACCACATCTGGAGTGCTGTGCCCCAGTCTGAGCTCCCCAGTAGAAGAAAGACATGGACACACTGCAGCAGGTCCAGTGAAGGGACATGAAGATAACTAAGGAATTGGAAAAACTGTCAGATAAAAAGAAGCCTAAGAGAATTTAGAGAAAAGAAGGCTTGCAGGGGAAGGAAGATCTAATTTATATGTATAAATTCCTGACTGTGGTGGGACAGGCGGGAGTACAGATGGTAGAACCAGACCCTTCTCATTGACAAGATGAGAAGCAGTGTGCACAAACTGAAACTCAGGAAATAGCATTTAAAAATAAGAAAAAAACATTTTTACTTAAGAGTGCTCAAACAGTGGAATGGGTTACCAAGAGAGGTTGTGGAGTCTCAATCCTTGGAGATGTTTAAAAGCCTAATGGACATGGTCTTGAGCAACTTGCCCTACCTGACTGCTTTGAGGGACCTTCAGAGGTCCCTTCCAACCTCACCTATTCTGTGATTCTGTGGTTCTGTAAAAACTGAACATGGATTAACCTTATAACTTTTCAAAACACATTAGTCTGAAGAAATAAAAATACATAATTTCTTTGTATTTTACACACCCTAAAAGCATTAAGTGAATTAAAATCATACTTATTTTTTAAACTCAGCTCACATAGATTCAAAATTGGTTGTAATTACTTTGGTTACATCAACACTGAAGTTATTGAATCTCATGTAAACACATCAAAGCTAGTTTCAAAGAAATTGAGTGCAGCCTGGCAAAACATATAGCTTGTAGTGAAGATGTGGAAAAAACAGATGGTCCATTATGACTATATTAGCATCCAACATTCTCTGATTCCTCTTTCTTATCCTATGCCTATATGCAATGGAGATTGTTTACAGAAAAACTATGCTTAATTGCTGTGGAATAAAGTGAAAGCTTTGTAGTTTGCCGTATGGTAACCAGTCCTTAGAAATCTGTGAGAATAAAGCTTCTCAATTACAGATAATAAACAATGTCCTTTTTACCTTGGCATTGAGGCACATCACTACTCCATTTTCCATTAGAAGTGCAAACTATTTCTTTAGATCCAACCATTTTGTACGTTGCTTCACATTCAAAATTGATAACCTGGCCAAAGGAATATTCTTGGCCTAGCTCAGAAGCATCAGTCCTAATTATTCTTCCATTTTCTGGTGCATCTACAGGTAAACACTTTGCCACTGGCAGATAAAAAAAAAAAAAAAATAAAAAAAGAAACAAACAGCCATTTTGAGGGCTATTCTGTAAAATAAATTCACACACACAAAAAGTTAAAATACAGAAAAAATTGTAATTGCTTTACAGATTTAAAAAAAATACACCCTTGTTTTACATTCAAATACCATTTCAGACAGATATAATACAAAACCCTAAGCAAAAAGACAGACTGACATAGGAGGAAGTTTGTAGACTGGCCCTCATCATCCTCTTCTCTGCCTTTGAAGGCTAACGACAGAGCATCCACTGACCTATATGACTGCCTGAGGTCTTGCAAAATCTAAATTATCCTACAATCCTATGAATTCAGTGAATGGTTAGATGAGCCTTGAGTGACACATAGGGCCATTAAACTTTGCCATACTAGAATAACTTAATTTAGAGCTGTGCCAAACTGAGTTTGCTATATAGATATAGATAGCTGTGTTGTAAACTGTCTGCAACAGTTCAGTTACTAAATAAAATTCCTACTTAAGGATAGCAGAACAATTATATTACTAAAGTAAGCAAATACAATGTCAGCTGTTAATTTAGACCCCTTGTATCTCCTGACTTTGTAACTGCAGAAAAGGGAAGAATGAACCTATGTCATCGGATATTTCTTATTAAGGAAGAAATTACTATAAGAGCTCATTCTTATATGTTCATTTAGATATCAGTGAGCATGTACAAAAGTGGCTGGTGTTTTGCCTACCATAGCTCTCACTTTTCTCAGACAACATTCTCTGTCTTGTAAGTCATCTGCCTTTTCTATGAGCTCACATAGTTACTCACAATTAGGCTATTAAACACTTTCTTTCATAGGCAATCATATTTCAGCCTAATGAAAACTCCTCAGTCATGCAGGATCTTAGTGACATGTGACAAAAAAAAAATGTTGGAAGCCATTGCTCTTTACCATGCAGACAGAGATAATCTGTATGCCTAAAACTGAGGACACTCAAAACCCAGTAAACCAAATGTGAGACCAAGGAAATGTCAAAACACAGACAACAAACTGTACACAAGAGAAAGATACATACTTTCATTTGTGATTTACTTGGAGACTCTTTCCTGACATTAGATGCTTAAGCTAAAGAGAAATTTTACTGCTGCACAGTAAAATTAAAAAATTTAAATACCGGTTAAAAATTATTTGTGAGAAGAAAGGAAGCTTATTTTCATAATCATAGAGGCTTGAAACTGGTGAAAAGGTTATGGCTGTCATTATAGCAGTCATTAAAAGCTTCACTGCTGCATGATTTGATTTTAGACATGTGTGAAGTAGTAAAAAGATCACAGACTAGTTTTAGATAGTATCAGACATACAGAAAGAAAGTTTGATAAAGAATTAAATGTCAAACTCCATTTACCTTCACAGTGAGGAATGTCATTGCTCCATCCATCTGCCTGACACTCACGGTAGTTTCTTTGGCTGAGCATCCAGTATCTTAGCGAATGAAAAGTAAATAATGCTAAAATGCAGTCTCATTATGTGACAGAAACAGCAGTGCTGCTGCTTTTGAAGCAAAGAAAGTAGGTTTCACCTGTTCTACCACAGACTAACCGAAATGTGACAAAACTGAGTAGTTTTTTGGGCTGCATTTTCTCTATTTTGTTTAACTGCACATAGAAAAAAATTGATTACTGAAAAATAATCACAAAGCAGGAATTAATGAGTAAGATGGCTTCTTCATTACAGAGCTAGCAAGCTTTGGATACATAACAAATAACGTAGGGGTAATTTACACAATCAATAACAAGCAGAGTAAAACTCCTGTTGCTTGTGCTCTGGTATAACTGAAAGCTACATGACAGCGTCAAATTAGGACTTAATCCAAACCATATGTATCTCAGATTTTAATAAGCTAGTATTATTTTAGGTTTGAAGGCAACACGTCCCCAGTGCCATGGCTTCTAAGTTGCCTGAAATGTAGCCAGAGGAAGTACAATTAGTCTGAAATGACACTGAAGAACTGTCTGAATTTAAGGGATTTAGGAGAATACTGATTTTCGAACTCTTTTTGTGGAACTCAAACTAGATTCCAGCAACAGAATGACTGCAAAAGCATGGCTACACCACTGTACCATGCTGATTTGCCTCTCCAAAGGAAAGAATCCTGTCATAGGCATACTTTTAAGCACAACACTATACATTTGCCGTGATGCAGTTTTCACTGGAGAAGATGAATAGAGGAGGAATAGAGAAGAACTTTTTTCCAAGCAGTCAGTGAAGACATGTTATTGAGTCTACCAGACAGAAATGTCTTGCTTCAAACATTTTTACATTTTAGTTCATAATGCACAAAAATGATTTAAGCAGGACTGGTGAGGTGGGGTTCTGAATAGGAGACTGATGTGTGGCCTGGTGTCTTTACTAACATGACGCCATCATGACTGCTCACTAAGAGCTCTGATTCCTGCATACAAAATTGCATTTTCATTGCAATTTCAAATTACCTACAGCTTTACACAGTTTAGATTCTTTGGATGACAGCTTCAGGTGCATGAGTTTGATTCCTTCAATAGCACCAGATATGAGAAAGAGTTATCTTTAGTATTACTGTAACTGCAGAAATTTAAATTAAACAATAACCAAGCATCAAATATTAATAAGTTGCAGCTGCATTACAGACAACAAATCTATAACTGACACTTCTTTTAATATTAACACTTTATGTTAACTCTCATATATTGAATTAAGTAAGTATTACCCATCATTACATCTGTACTCAACTCTGGCACCAAATACAAATTCACTTCCACTGGTAAGTTCAAAGGTACCAAACTCCATATCTCCAGGATGGCCACAGGGCTTATCTGGTGAAAAAAAAAAAAAAAAAAAGAAGAAAAAAATTACTTACATCATACATAGGAATGTGAAAGTGTGAAAGGTAGAAATTTTCTAGTAATCAGGAGCGAGTACAGGGCTTTCAAAATGTCAAAAATGCTGAGCAGTAGTTTTATTAACCCCTTCTTTTTCACTATCCTCAATGAGAACACAATGTAGTAAGAATCTGCTTATTTGTTTGTGTTTTTGGTTTTGTTGTTTTGGTTTCTTTTTTTTAAAATTATTTTTTAATTATTATTAAATAACAAATTAGCAGGTTTTATTCCTTTAAAAAGGCTGAGCTCATCTTAAATTTTATGCAAGGTTTAATGGCAGGATGTAACTTCAGCTTTTCATACAACTTCTGACATAAACTAGTTCAAAGCTTCTACTACAGAATCCATTCATGACTGGTAATGAAATTTTCTCAGTCATAGAATCACCATACTATGGAAAGTACTTCCAGGGTTATAAAGCCCAACTTTTATCCCAACGTTTCCCTAACCACTAGACTATAGCCTCAAGTGCCACATCCACTCATTTTTTGAACCCCTCCAGGGACGATGACTCCACCACCTCCCTGGGCAGCCTGTTCCAGTGCCTCACCACTCTCTCAGTGAAGAAATTCTTCTTAATATCCAATCAAAACCTCCCCTGGCACCACTTGAGGCCATTTCCTCTTGTCCTATCATCATTAATTTGGAAGAAGAGACCAACACCAGCCTATAAGAGAGCAATAAGATCTCTGCTCAGTCTCCTCTTCTCCAGACTAAACAACCCCAGTTCCCTCAGCCAGTCTCCATAAGGCATGTTTTCCAGCCCTCTCACCAGCCTCATTGCCCTTCTCTGGACCTGGGGCTCCAGCACCTCCATGTCCTTCTTATACTGTGGTGCCCCAAAATAAATCTGATGTTATAACACAGACTGCAAAATAAACTCTGTAGTTAAACCTATTAGGCCTCCTCAAAATGATCAGAGGGCTGGAGCAGCTCTCCTATGAGGACGGGCTGAGGGAGTTGGGGCTGTTCAGCCTGGAGAAGAGGAGGCTCCGGGGGGACCTTATAGCGACCTTCCAGTACCTGAAAGGGGCCTACAAGAAAGCAGGGGAGGGACTATTCACAAGGGTTAGTAGTGACAGGGTGAGGGGTAATGGGTTTAAGCTAGAAAACGGGAGATTTAGGTTAGACGCTAGAAAAAAGTTCTTCAATATGAGGGTGACAGATCCCTGGAATAGGTTGCCCAGAGAGGTGGTGGAGGCCCCATCCCTGGGGACATTCAAGATCAGGCTGGATGAGGCTCTGAGTAGCTTGATCTAGTTGGGGATGTCCCTGCTTGTGGCAGGGGGGTTGGACTAGATGACCTTTGGAGGTCCCTTCCAGCCCAGACATTCTATGATTCCTCAGAAGAAATATTTCCTGATCCTTGTCAACCTAGGCAATTTCATTTCCTGAATTGTATCAACATCTGTTTTTTTCCAAGGAAGAGGTCTTTGAGTAGGCCCTAAACCTGCTCCAGTGTGATTGACAGAAAACAATTACATGATCAATTCTGCTGTCTAGTGTAGCCTATCCTGAAAAGGGAATGTGATCATTTGACCTCTAGCACAACATCTCTTTTGGCTTTCCACTTGCACCTTGCCAGTATCAGTATCTATTTGTTGGGCTGCAGTATTCACTAAAATGTGTTACGAAAAAGATACACCAAATTTTGTGTCATTTGAATGAATTGTGCTCACTGAGTAGTTATACAAACATATAAAAACTGAGGAGTTGACTAACTCAAAAAACGTAAAAGAAACTAGTAACGACTTCATACATTCATTTCTACTCATGCTTTGTCTTTGAATGACACCTGAGACTTAATTTTATATTATTAAACCAAACATTTATATTCTACTCTGTGTTAGATATGGAAGAAAAAAAGCTGGCATGTCTAAAATTTCCTTATGTTTAAAACTCATATTATACAGAAAGAGGTAACTGTTGACTAACAATAATAAACTTCAATTTCTTCACTAAGGAATTCCATATGAAGGTGTGAGATACTTCTAAACTCTTAACACAGTATAATAGAGATAAAAAAGAGCAGCTCACATCCTAATAATGAATTTTCCTTCACAGAGTAAAAGAGAAGGTTGGGAAAATAATTTCCTACTTCCAAGAATTTACAGCTTTCATAAGAAGTAGTTGAATAAACTGAAAAGAAGGCAATATTGTCTGTTGCATTCACTACCCTGTGGTCAGTTGCTTTATTCTGCTTAGTCTGTAAACTGCATCTGCATTAGTTTTTTTTTTTACATTTTGGAAGCAAGCTCCTAATGACAACAACTTAATAACAGAAATTGGGTTAACAAGGCTGACTTAGAATAAGATCTTGTCCTGTAAAAAAAAAAAAAAAAATCCTTTGATCTGGAGGGAAAGAACTAAGAACTTCCAAAAATGTTTCCTTGCCCATACATGCTTTTTAGGATGATGTTTTAAAGGATGCTGAAATAAGCAGCTCACAGGTAAAGATACAACGCCAATTTCACATTTACATCACTGCCAAGGAATGTGATCTGTCATATCATATTTAGCATAGATACTTACTTCTGCATTCTGCCCCTGGGAGTTGTTTCCATGCTCCATCAGCACACTCAAACACGATTCGTCCAAGTTTTATATATCCAGGCCGACATCTGTATGTTACTTGAGTACCATGTGGATAGGGAGGTTTGTTCCACGTTTCAGTAGGCACTTCTTTAACCCTCCTAGGAGGAGGTTCTTGACAAGCTAAGTGTTGCAAATAAAAATATTGGTGACTGAATCGTGTGCTACAAATACCAAAATAATTTTACAATACAAAATGTAGCAAGAACTCCTGGGGACATTTGTGATCAAATGAGCATATGTTTTCTACTTAATCACCACAAAATAGGATGCAGTCAAGAATCCACATTTTGTAGGAATATGAATAGACATACAGAAGGACATACAAATAGTCAAGCAAGTGCTGCAAAACCCCATGGGACAGTCATAATTCATTAAATAGATTTTAGTTACAAAGACTAGAGATGAGATTAGTGCCCTGGTTCTAGCCACAGACATCTCTCACCCTTCCATCTACAGGAGCTCCTCCATGCTTGTCCTTCCATTACCACAAGGAGCAACTCAGTGCACTCTGCACCTTCCTTTCAAACTATTTTCTTCTGCTGCCAGCACCATCCTTACTGAAACTAAATTCATGTGTCATTCGATCAAGTTTTGTCAAATCTCCCCTCACCTTTACATTGGCTAAACTTTCTCTCCAGGCTGAGATCCCCTGATATTCCAAAACTTACTTCCTTCCATCCAAGAGATTATTTCTTAGGATAAGTTACTTGTTACATGACCTAATTACTGGGTATTCACTTTGACCTTTGTTAGTTTCAAAGCATTTTGACTCCAGTTGAGGGGTGGATGGTGGCATCTGATATTTCTATTTGCTCAAAATTATACCATCCTCCCCAAAAAGCTTCACAAAATGGACAGCCAAGTCCATATTAATTGCAAGAAATGAGCCTGAATTAATTTTATTAAGAAGTCCCTCAACAATTTTAGAAGGGAAAAATCAAACATTGGGAAGCTGTTAATGAAAGACTAATAAGAAACATATTTGTTGTTGTTGTTTATAATTGACCTAGTTTCAGTGACTAATTCTCTGTGCTTGGGTGACTGAAATGTACTTCTTTTAAAGACTGAAACTTTACAGAAAGTAACAGAGTCAGGAGAGTCTAGCTAATTAGATGCAATGACGTCTGGTTTATATCTGAACATGAAAGGTAAGAATTCCTCAAGAATAATAAAACAACCTCTGAGAAATTAAGCCTTGGAAAATAAATGAAACCTCTGTATAGAAAATAAATGGGAAAGAAATTTCTTGGTGAGTAGATCCATTACTCAGTAGAGAGCAGGCACAAAAGTGCTCTCACCAGTTTAGTTGCAAGGCCACAGGTCTGAGAAAGCAGCAATACTCTCACTGAAGCTTTCCTATGGAATCTCCAGGTTCTGCCAGAAAGTGGGAGTACAGGAAAAATACTCAGGATCTTTCCTCATGTGAGGCATATGGAGTTATGGCTCGCTGAACTAAGCTGTGGAGCTCACAACCATGGACTAAGTAGCTGTGATTTCTAATACAAAGGGAGCAGAATCAACACTCATTCTTCCGCATCAAAGGACAGAAAGTGATTTACTTTATTTGTACAAAGACATACCCTTGAACACACACTGTTTATTTCCATCAGTGGAATACCTATCAAATTAAAGGCATAACTTTAGGAAATTGTTTAAAAATCACGTAAGATATATTTAATAAGGAAAAAAAAAAATCAACTGTATAATTTTACTTGTTCTGTAGCTACAGTATTTTGAAAATGTAAAGAAAGAATGTTAACTGTGAGGTCTAAGAACTTTGTTTGTCTTAAGTAGCCAGGAGTAGACAAGCTTTGACGATACTGTTGAGTTGCTAAAGGAAGAGTACGCCCACACGTTGACCTTTTTTCCAACTACTTCAGCAAATATGTGCCCTCCTACCAAAGAATAAATCTCAGTAAAAATTTCTGTTTCTGTCCACTAGAGGGTACTACCTTACTATCAAAAAAAAGGAAGCTGGGCTTTTGCAAGATTCAGCTACATCCACTTTTCAGCAACGTTTCTGCAAAATGCAGGAATAAATAAAACGAACAAGAATCTTCTGGCTAGTTCTTTCAAATGTGCTAAAAATGTTTAGTTCAAAAAAGCTCTTTGTAACGGTGAGAAAATGAATTTTTCTAATTCCACATTTATTTTTTCTTTTCGTAAGAGGTCATTAAAATTAGTGCTTTCAGTTTGCAAGCTGAGAAAGTACACACCAAATTCTATGATATAAAAAAATAGGCTATTTAGTACAGAGAAAGCTGTCCTTCTCTATTCCTCCTTTACTTCTGGGTTGTATTAAACTTTTCTTCTTTGTTGTACAGAATGAGGCCTCATAACTCTACCTTGTTTACATTAAAAAAAAAAAAAACAAAAAACAAAACACAAAAGACAATATCCTGAAAGTCTCTTCATCATTACTAAGACATGCTTTTTTTGGGGTTTTACTTCAACTCTGATTGTTCTTTATCACTCCTGCCCTGATGTTAAACTATGTGATACCATAAAGTGTCACACTGTGTATATGTATTCCTGACTACTGCTGATTATTCTCTATTTTTTTTTTTAATGCATTTTCTTAATAGCCTGAGAAAACTGATGACAGGATGTACTTCAAAATTATATTAATTATATCATGCACCCACCATGTGTACACGCCAAAATTTGGATTGATTTATTTTCATATTAGAAAGTATGCACTGATGGCATACCTTCAAATCCTTTAGTAAGGGACCAGGAGAGCTGGAATTAATCATTTAGTGTTTATATTTGACTTGACCTTAGTTAGAAATAATTCAAGCTGCTTTCTTGTTACCACTATACTGGCAGAAACTTCCATATGTTTAAGCATAAATTATGAATTCAGGTAGAAGTATTTTGCATGTGCAAATCTAAGCTCTTGAACAACTCACACAGATTTTCAATATAAAGTTTGACCTAAGAACCCTGCGTGACCCATGGTAATAGTTGTTCCAGGTAAATCAAATATTGCTACATTCACATTCCTTTACAATCTCTCTGATCTAAAGAAAGCATTGTGAAAAGAAAGTGTATATTCAGGCAAACTTTCTTTACATATTCCAGGACTTTTCTGGACTTCTTTGCAAACAGACTTTATTAGTTGCTTTGGAGAAGTACTTATTATGAGAATATATTAAAAAGATAATGCACTTGATTAATGTCAAGATTTTTCAAATATTCAAAGTAAAATCCATCAGTCTATTGTAACTAATGTCTTCATAAACCTTCACCTAAAATTAAAAATAACCTGAACCAAGAAAAGACCCACTAGCTTAAAACCATATAGCACCCTTTCTGCAACAGCCTAAGTCCAGAAAGCTAGACTGGACACAAAAAAAATTACTTTACTAAGCATACAATAAACAATATAAAAAAAAATTATCGAGAAAAATAAATTTAACAGAGAAGCACAAAATATTAGAGGCGTCTGAAAAGTTACCCAGAACAACAGCCACCTCTTTAAACATGTACAAAAGTATATCTGTATACATTTATCTCATTTCATGGATTAAAACTAGTCAGTCAACAGACATTTTGTAAGCTTTTCAATCAATTTAGTAATTATTCCTCTTTCTCAAATTATCTCACAGATTATTCCTGACTGAAATAAATGCATATTTATCAAATATTTTTTATTTTAATCTACCGTCTGTTTACAGGTTTTAAGTGTTAGAATAACTAACAAACATAATTATTAACAAATGAGTTATCTGGCTTTAGCTGATAGGGACGCTAACCATTTAAGAAGTTGTGCAATAGATTAATAACAGCAGTCCAAAATAAGCAGGTGAAATAATTTCTCTGACATGATATGAAATACTAAAGGTGCTAAATACAGCCAGAAGAGATCTCTATCATTGTCAGAAGTTCATTAAAATAGGCTACAATGCAAACATTTTATTTACATATTATTTTAGTTACCATCTCCACGTACAATTTAAGAAAGGTTTGTTTTGGTTTGTTTTGTTGTTTTTTTTCCCCCATATTAAAGCTTACCTCTTTCTGCAGTACAATACATCCAACATAAGAGCATAGCTGTATAGCCCAGGAATGACATCCTAGAGATTCAGAAATTCAGCAAACACATTTAGTATTGTAGCCTACTTTTTTTACTTTGTGTTATTTCCACTTCTATTTTGCTCACTAACTGCTCCAGGGACTGACCTTGCAAAACATTTATACTCTGATTTCAGCCGTCACTTCCGCTAATCCTCTTGCAACATATACGTGTTTCTTTTTTTTTTTTTTCTCCCTCTCCAAACTTTGCTAGATGAACACATAAATAAATGGCTGGCAACTTTGGTTGACACAGTCCTTTCCTGTGGTTTGCTTGTTTTTACAGCATACCTTGTTTTTTCATATTAATCCTTCCATACTCTGATAACCTTATTTCCTTTGGTATCCAAAAGAAGTTGCACAAATAAAGTATTTTGTGATTCATTGAGTTGTATATGCTCAGTTAAAATCAAGAAATTCACATTAAATGTATGCAAAACAAAACTTCTCTACTGTATACATATAATTCACAGTCTATGTTGAAAAAAATGGAAGTAAAAACTATACAAAAGTACAAAGTGACTTATTAACTCATTGGTTCTTTTATAACCAACTACCAAGAGCAAAGAAAACATACTTCATCAAATACTTTATTAAACAAACCTATGTGATGTTGAAGCACTTGTTTCAGTATCACATGAGAAACTATAAGATGGAGAAGACAAGAATTAATTGTAAGACGGATAATGAACTCTCCGAAGAAAAATAATAAAGATGTTGCTAAAAGAAGAACTCTAAGACAAGCTGGGATAACAGAGTAACTCCTTCATGGAATCATGTAAACAAAATTCCTATTAATATTTTCAGTAAATGTCTTGGCTTTGTAAGAAGTGCACGCCATGGGAGATGTGGATTACATGAAGAGAATTGTTTGATACCGAGAATTAGGAAAAAAAAAAAAATTAAGAGTACAAAGCGTTCTCAGGAGACAGACACAAACCAGCTGCACACCAGATACCCTGCAGTGGAGCTGTCTGACTGGTACGGAGTATACGCAAGTCAATCTTGCCTATGCTCCCAAAAGACCACATAACATACCCTTAAAATCACTGGCTTAGCCTGCTGATAAAGGATAAAAAAAAATAGTGTGTTCAGAGACACTCAAACCAAATCTGAATTCCAAAGCAGCTGAAACTTTGTTCTTCTCAAAATGCAGTTGGAATTAACTTTTTAGTTGTTGTTGTTTTGTTTGTGTTTGGTTTTGGTTTTGATTTTGTTTCTTTTCTTTAAATGGCCTGTGTGGTTTTAGTTTCCAGTTCTAAGGAATGGTCTTATTGAAGTCAGGCATTCAGCTGTTTCACCTGAAAGAACTCATTCAGGCAGCATAACACCTCTTCCTTTATCTCCTACTTTCTCTTACCAAGTGACTCATATGTGGAAAATGAACTCTCACTCTGCTCCGTGACCCTGCGATGGCTGATCTGCACCCTTTTCACAGTTACTGGTGCATACCTGAAGAGTAATATTACTTACCAAAAATATATTTAGAGGGGTTTTAAACCCGCTGGTTTTGCCCGGGAAGAAAACACCCCCAGCGGGACCCCAGTAGTACTTCCAGGGTGGTCTTCAGCAAAGAGGAGGACAGTGGCGGTTAAAGGAGGGATGGGCAACGATCGCTTTCTTCCAAAATAAAAGGTTTTAATAACATGAAAATAACAAACAAAAAACACCTGAGGCAGGCACTGAAACAGCACCCACCCCAGGGGAGAAGCGAAAGAGCATGTGGCTTTGGGGCCAGGGGTTTTTAACAGGTAGGTAGGTGGGTTTACAAAGGCATTGTCCTGTAAGGATACCTGTAGGGGTTACCTACAGATCAGGGGTCCAATGGGTGTTAGGGGATTGGTCTTGTGGTGGCTAAGCCAACCACAACCTGGGAAAGATGGAAAATTCTGGATGTGTGCCCATGTTTGGGGACAAAGAGGCAACAGAAACCTCTGTCTCCAGGAGGCGCACTGCAACAGAGTAAAAGGATTTTTTTTGTTATTGTTCTAAGAAACAGCTCCTCACAAGACTTCACTGCCCAAAACTTTAATTCCTTTTGATTGGTGGCAGAGAACCGTGTCCTGCTGCAGACAGCAGTGCTCTTAGTGTGCCAGGACAGTCCCACTTGTCTTGTCCTCACCCATCCTACTGAATGCATTTATCTGCTTCTGTACCAGTGGGCTGCTGGGTGCAAAAGCTAGTTTCCTTCAAGTGGTGAGGAACTTCAATTAGCTGTAAAAATCCACACTGCAGGCATAGGTTCTATAATTTATCCATTTTTAAGTGTTGTATTCTCTGAGCTTAAAATGCCTCAGGTTTTATCGAACCACTTTTGGGTTATTATACCACTTACCAAATCACTACAGGCTTGAAACACAGTCAGATGCTTTCAGCCAGAGCTGAACAAAATCTGGAACTGAATTGTCAATTTACTATAAACTTCCTGACTGCTTTCTATGAATACAGGCAATCTTAAAATTATGTAAACTAAAAGATAACATCAGCACACAAGAGTGGACAAGTATAAACTTCCTATGAATAAATTTAAGCTGAAAATTAGAAGACTCACCTGAGCAGTGAGGCTTGGAAGTAATCTTTGTATAGGCATAGTGTAGATCTATACAAAGAAATCATCTTTGAACACAAAGCAAGGTACCAAACTCAGTCCTTTCCAATATTGTGTTTGTGATCTTTTTAAGCCATTGATGAAACTTACCCTAACCAAATGGACAGACCATCAGGAATGTATTTTTTCTTTCCTTTATCACCTCTTCATGGGCTATCAAATGATTCAAAACTAATATCTTTAATGATGTCTGACTGACTTAATCATCTCCAGCCTTTTACAAAACAGATTGCACTGCATAGGAAAACCATGCCTCAGGACCTCTAAGGCAGGCAGAAAAAGAAATCTCTAAAGTACCTTTACCTCTTATTGATAAGGCAGAATCATCTAAGTAGTTATGCAGCCAAAGGCAGCTGGAATTTACCTACGGAGGTAGAGCTATTGCTTTGAGAACTGGTATGACTGCACTCAAATATTGTTGTGGTAACAGCAAGACAGCCAAAATATCACTACATATGCCTGAACTAACAAAACTTCATGTCGAGGTATAGGACCATAGGCAAGTTCAGGTTGGAAGGGACCTCAGGAAGTGATCTTGTCCAGAACTTGTACAATAAGTAGTCAGTTATGAGGTCAGACCAAGTTACTCAAGACGTAGTTCATTCCCTACTCAGTGTGGGGGCTTAACATTAAAATTCAGAGTGTTTGTTCAAACTTGAATAATTTTGAGAAGAGTGTTTGGAAGCCATTTTGTTAGGAAGACAGATCAGAGGAAGTCAGTGTATTCCATTAGGGAGCTAGTGATGACTAGCAATAAGAGCTTAATTAGTCACTGATGAAATAGCATCTCTGACCAGTAAAATCTCATCGTGTCCTAACAGCCTACTTGTTGTCACGATTGTGTTTAACAATATTAGAGCCCACAAAATGCTAGAACCAATTACTCTTTTGCCCAAAAATCTTCATGAAAGTGTCCTATCTTTTTATTGTCAAAAGTTGCTGCTCCTCCCACTGGCAGACAAATTCTCTAACTTGTAATGACATTAGACGTCATGTAATACATACAATTGGAACGTAGAATAAGTGCGATCAGGAAAAACTGCTCCTCTCTCTTAGCTGAAAACAAATCACAAACTGATTTATTGATTTATTAGTAGCACATAATTAACTGGCAATCAGTGAAATATGCATTCAGGTTGAACACCAGCAATACAAACAGATAAGACCCTGTTAATAGATAAAATGCTAATAAACACCTCATAAATTTCTAAACAACCTTTCTTCACTAATCCCCCAAAGCTCTCACACATACTGTGTGAGCTGCAGGCTGTAGGAGCTGTGGGCACTCACAGGGTACCTGTGCTGCACCTTACCACCTGCACTGCACACACTAGGGAGAAAAGCCCCACACACGGTGACCTCTGCACGCCGGCACTGCCGGAGCTGCTGGCCGAGCAGGCAGGCAGGATGTGCCGCCCGGCCTGGGCACGCAGGCGCTTTGATGCCAGCGGGTGAACGTACAACGACAAACTGGGTACAGAGCTGGTTGAGAGCAGCCCTGAAGAGAAGGACTTGGGGGTGCTGATTGACGAGAAGCTCAACAAGAGCTGGGAGCGCACTCATGCAGCCCGGAACACCAACAGTATCCTGGGGTGCATCAAGAGGAGTGTGGCCAGCAGATCAAGGGAGGTGATTCTCCCCCTTTGCTCTTTTAAGAACCCTCCTTGAATACTGCATCCAGTTCTCTTGTCCCCACCAGAAAAGGGACATAGATTGGTTGGACTGAGCCCAGAGGAGGGCCACAAAGATGATCCAAGGGCTGGAGCATCTCTGCTATGAGGACAGGCTCAGGACACTGGGATTGTTCAGCCTGGAGAAGAGAAGACTCTGGGGCAACCTTATAACTGCCTTCCAGTGCCTGAAGGGAACCTGCAGGGAAGCTGGAGAGGGACTTCACAAGATCGTGCAGCGACAGGACAAGGGGAAATGGTTTCAAACTGAAGGAGAGTAGATTTAGACTGGAGCTTAGGAAGGTCTTCAGCACGAGGGTGGTGAAACTCTGGAACAGATTGCCCAGAGAGGCTGTGGATGCCCCCTCCCTGGAGGTGTTCAAGGCCAGGGTGGATGAGGCCTTGAGCAACCTAGTCTAGTTGAGAGGTGTCCCTGCTCATGGCAGGGAGGTTGGATTAGATGATCTCTAGGGTCCCTTCCAACCTAAGCCATTCTATGGTACAGCAGTGTGAAACCCAGCTCCTCTCATTTCAAGTGCCTGATCTGTTTCCACTGTTCTCCCTATTGTTACAAAGTGCTATTTATCCTTTATGTTTCTTTCCAAATTGGCACCTCCTTTATTTCAAAACTCACTCTAACTCCCTGGTTACTGTTTAATCTGGCTGATGGCCATCATCCACCTTAATATGATCAGCTGTAGCACAGGCACTCAGACAGTTTCG